TCAATGTGAGGCAGGATCCTGATGAAAGGCCCTCTGCAGACAATTGATCTCAGTAATGATGAAGAGGAGGGGATAGGTCAGACATGCCACCTCTTTCACAGGATTTCTCTCTGAGGTGCTCGCTGGAGTGTGAGGCGGACACGGCGCTGCAGCTTGATGGGCTAGTTAGATGTGCAGTGTGATGGATTGGGCTTCACATGCGCTTGGAAAAAAATGGTATGGTGCACATCAGCCAATTATGCAAAAAAAAAGGAAAGCCTGTGTGTACCTTGAGAATAGAAGAGTCTTTTTTCCAAACAAATTAATTAAAATTCTCTCTAGGCTCTTTCCGTTTTATTTCGCCACAGACCTGCGTTCACAACACCCCGACGGATGTTTAGAAAGGAAAAAAATCTCAGATTGAGTTTTCTTCTCAGTCAAATTAACCTAATCAAAGTGAAGAGGGAAAAAAGGCAGGCACCGGCACAAATAGGGATCCCGTAATTGGCCTGTTTTGCATTTCATCTCCAAGGATATTTTATTCACATGCCGGCCTATAAAGCCTAAATTGTTTCAGTTCTGAACTGATTGCGCCTGAAACACAAAAGAGGAGAAAAAAAGGAACAGAAACGCTGCCCTCATGCCTCCTACGGGGTTGTGCTAAACCACTTATTTCGGACTAAACTGGATTATTGACAAAAGACACAGAGCTGGAATGCTTCGGTTTTCCTGCATAATGGAGCTGCAGCACCCTGGGAGCCGTTGCCCGGCTGGTAATTGAACTTATGCTTTTGAATGGTGGACGTTTTAACCATGAGGCGCATTATGAAGGATGCTCATGTTTGTTTATTCAGGAGATAATAGACATGGGGTCCACGCTGTCCCTCTGCAATACGTCCTCACAACATCTCCGGAGCGTCTGATTCGCCCGCTGCCTGCTTATATTCTTTGTTTTCACCTTTATTTTCCTTAGAAAGTCGGAGCTTTTGGCAAAGTAGGCCAAGAGGAGGAGCAGCGGGGTTACAAATGTGCTCTGAAGTTCAATCAAAGGATTGTTTTATGTTTTCAGCACTGCCCAAAGACTTTATCCTGCGCAGAAAAAAAAAAAGGGAGATCTGAATGTGTGAGTGCAGCACAAGAATGTAAATGAAACACGGCCCCAGTGGACGGCGCTGACATATGGATGTGGTTAAGGTGCTGGTGTCTGAGTGTGTGCTGCGTCTGGGAAGAGTCAGGATGACATATCTGTTTGTCACCGTGCCAGGTATGAATGAGTGTAGGTGGGAGCGCTTCCAGAACACCAGCAGCAGCAGCAGCAGCAGCAGCACTTTGAGCGCTTCAGAAACATGAAACACATGCCAGCTCGCTGCCCGGTGGACGGTGGCCTCCCAACAGCAGGAACAAATACGATCTGCAGAGTCGACGGTGCAACGTAAACCCGTCGTAAACAAGGCAGAGTCTACCTCAGAGGACATCGGGGCGTGGTCTGCGTGGAAAGCTGGCACTGCGCCCCGTCCATATAACGCCCAGTTCAGAGTTATCGGCTCTTTCCAAAAATAGATGAAGCTTTGCCTCCTCGTCTATCCTGCTTGAAGTTAACGGTGAGGTGGTGTCCCGTAAGCCCCGGCTCGGGCCAGACAGCCATCTTGAGAGCCTGTTGAAGATCCTGGTAAATCCGAACTGGATCTCCCCGGAGCACTGATTGAGATGTATTAACACTGCTCAGCAAGCCTCTCTGGCAAAGGCTGCTCAAAGTACAGCCGCCGGGCCTCGGAGAGCACTTCAGTCCACTTCATCTCTTTGTAGAGTTTCCTGCTCACCTGCTCGGATTGAGAAGCAGCCAGAGGACCTCTGCGATTGGAGGATTCACAGTGTGGATGGAAGCTGGGTGAAATCTGAAGAGGATGATCTCCATCCGTCCTCCCCGAGAGTTCAGATGAAGTTCAGATGACAGCTTTTAAATTTGGGCTGCAGGAGAGGCGAGAGGTTCTGAAGGTGTTTTTAAATGCTAATGACGTTCTCAGGCAGCTACAGAGTCTCTTAGAGTGTCAGGTGCTTACTTTTCTGAAACTTTGCCGGTGCTGCCTGTATCTGTATAGAACAGAATAGAAAAGGTTTGTTGATGCCCAGAGGACGCTGTGTTGGTACCGGAGCAGGCAGGAAGTGGAAAGTGACCACAAATATACAAATAAATAAACAGAAATACCCAGTAAAGGAAGGTTAAAATAAAAAAGAAAGTACAAAATGCACAATAAGGTCTAAAAAAAAACAAAAAGAAAGTACAAAATGCACAATAAGGTCTAAAATATATTATGATTTAAAATGTAGTTAAGTGGAAACAAGACAGATTGTGGTTATTGATTAGGATTAATAAGTTATTTTAGACCCCTGATGGACGATAAGGTCAGGTTCAGATGGGTCCAGTTCTAAGAGATCAACACTGAGGGCTAGATGAGAACTTCCGTGTCGCCTTCACGTCCGTACAGTAAACCTGAAGCTTCATTTATCAGCCAGCAAAGAGTGGAAACCAGGAGAAACAGTTGGCCCACTGTTGCGTGGCCCACTGCTGACCCTGCGACTTGTCCAGAACCAGTACAGAACCGCATGTTGTGGTTGTCTTGTGCAAATTCTTGATGCTAAATTGAGCTTGCTGGCTGCGAGCTGTTATTGACATGAGGGTGCTGCTGGACTCGGGGCTAAATGAGCACTTTTCCCAACATGTTTTTTGGTGAAGGATCTGTCTCATCTCCTCTCAGACGTGTTTGCTTTAGCGCTGATCACACCTCTGTGGGTAATCCAGCCATCAGCAGGGACACGACGCTGCATTCCTGCGCTGCTCACAACGTATTAAAATGATGCATGGACCTGGTATTAACTTCTGTTTGACAGGCAGGAGGGCTTATTTATTTATTTTTTTGTCACTGGACTATTTAAACAGTATTTTTTCTTTCTTGTCTTCTGCTTCACTCACGGTGACAGATGTTAGCGCTTTTCCTTTTTTTCCACTCTCGCTAACGTTGAAATAATTGGGATTTCTTGGCCCGGGCGCCGTTGTTTTGTGCTCAGTTGCCTAGCTGTGGTCTTTTGTTTTCCTGTTGAACTTTCCAACATAAAAAAAAGCTGCAGCAGATCCGTTACGGCTGACTGCTGGTTCATCCCTGCAAAGCGCTTTGATTATATTTTCTTAATTTAGTGGTTTTTAACAACATCTAGATCATAATTTCTCGTACCTTTTCCCTGGGAGAGTTCCACAGGCAGCATCGCTTGCTCAGATGAATGAGAAATGTGGATCCAGACTGAAACTATGACCTTTTGTTGCCAAGCGACTGAACAACCTCTTCGTCGGGGTGTTCTGGCACATCACCGTGAAATACTGAACCGCTGTGGGTCGTCAGCGGCTCTGCCCAGGACGGGTTTGACAGGGCTGACCTTATGCAAGTGTTTTTTATTTTTATTTTCTTTCTGCTTGTGATATTTTCCTTGATTGTTACCAGTACTTAAAACTGCAGTGTTGTATCTCAGCAAGCAGGTCTTCGCTCCAGAAGCCTGGTTGAGGGAACAGATCTGTTTAACTCCTCGCTGAACACGTTGGACGGTTTCACGTCGGTAGAACCAGTCATAGAGCGGCTCCACGTAGCCTGCTCAAGTGTTTGCCTATCTCGCCATAATGAGCGTTATAATTATTTGTTTGCAGATCCTCTTCGTGGCGTTGCCATGGTGTCGCCTCCTGTGTTTCCAGCCCAGTGTTGGGCAGCAGCTCTTTGCATTAGCAGTGATCATTAGCAGACAACAGCTGTCCCCAGAGGTTAGCGAAGCCTCTCTTCACAGATACAATCTGTAAATGACAACAGACAGGCGAGGAAATCAATAGCACACCCCCAAAGCAGTGACGGCGTGATGTTTATGATCACAGATGACACATGGTTGCAGCCGTTGGCGTGTGGAGCTGCAGAAAAATTACATCCACTGGAATACAGATAACGTGGGGTTGGACTGCATTCCCTCGGGTTTCCCTTTAAATAATACAAAACGTGTGGGACTGTGTTGCCCCGGAGGGGCAGATTCAGACGGCGGGGATTAGTGGAACATACTATTACCACATAGTTCATGTTTGAATAATCTATATTTGGTTCCTTTTGTGGTCCGTTTCCCTTTTTGATGTCTTTTTCAGATGTAATGTAAGCTAATACTGCAGGACTTAAGAGGACGCTGCTTTGCATGTTTCACTGCTGCGTTTCCAACACGGTCGCATTACAAAGGGTCAGTTGGTCCGAACGCTGGAACAAACTTGTGGGTAAATACATCCAGTCATGATCCCGATCCGTGCCAGCGAAGCATTAAACAACCAAACACGCTATAAATATTTCATAAGTATTTCCACACACCATTTGGGAAAGTGTTTAATATCAAGTCTATAACATGATGAATGGACTTCGTACAGTTGTGTTTGTTTTGATACGTCTGTGGAGGCCGCCGAGTCCACGGGAAGTATGCACCAATAGAAAGTCGTGATGTCAGGTCACCGCCGCTTCAAACAATCGATGAATTGACTCCGTGTAAAAGTTCTGGCTTTAATAAAAGTTTATGTGCTATTTTTTTCTCAGTGTAAAGAGTCGATAATAAAAATAGAAAGAAGGCTCTGAGCTGATTTGTTCCCGTTTCGCAAGTTTCCGAAAAGATCACAGCGGCCAAAGCTAAACTTTTTAATTAAACACGTATCAAAGCTACTCGATTTGGTCGACGCTTTTTATTGTTGAACAGTTGTTCTGCTCCCAGCGGCATTACACCACCGCGCAGATGTGGCCGCGAAGTAGCCGACAGTCAAAGTGATGTCAGATCCGACGGCGCTTTGATCGATTTCCAGTCCTTGTTCAGGGTCAGAGTAAATGTTAAGGTCATAAATGTAACAGCCACCTAGGAAACAGGTTGTTCTCATACGCGCAGTGTGTTTCCTCCAGCAGTCAGTTCTTTATTTTCCAGTAGATCGAGGGTCTGATCCCTTCTTCTGTGTTTTCTTTCAGAGGAAGAACGTCCACCTGCTGCTCAACGTCTTTCTGCTGGCGGCCTGGGGAGTCGTCCTGCTGGCCTGCCGCTTCTACTGGATGGGCAACAAACCCCCAAACTTCTCCAACTCGGACAACCCGGCGGCCGACTCGCCCTCGCTCCTCACCAGGACGCTGACCTTCTTCTACCTGCCTGCCATCAACTTCTGGCTCCTCCTCTGTCCGGACATGCTCAGTTTCGACTGGTCGATGGACGCCTTGCCTCTGATCAGGAGCCTTGCTGATCTGAGGAACTTCCACACGGCGGTCTTCTACCTGGGGCTGCTGTCGCTGGCTTGGTTCAGCCTGTGGACGCAGCAGACGGTCAAGGGCAAGGACGCTAACGGCAAGGCGCATCACTACACCAACGGCAGAAATGGGAACAGTAACGGACACAGCTACCAGTACAACAATCACGAACACACGAACCACACAGATGCTCAGAACCATAGTGCACAGAATGGTACCAAACAGCACTATGAGAGCAGGACTCCACTGCCCACCACTGAGAACGTGGTGGTGTTCTCTCTGGGCCTCCTGGCTATCCCTTTTCTACCTGCCACAAACTTGTTTTTCTATGTGGGCTTTGTGATAGCAGAGAGAGTACTGTACATCCCCAGCATGGGCTTCTGCCTGCTGGTTGCGGTGGGGATCAGGTCCCTGTACATCCGGATGCGACGCCGGTCCTCCAGGACCACGCTGGTGTACTTCAGCGCGGCCCTGGTTCTGCTTTTTGGCGTCAAAACTGTTCTGAGGAACCGGGACTGGCAGAATGAAGAGATGCTCTACAAGTCAGGGATTTATGTCAATCCTGCTAAAGGTAAGGCTCCACTGCTTTTATTCATGTTAGCGTGCACACAGCTGCTCTGACACGTGCACAAACACACTCTCACACACACCCGTCATGCGAGCAAGTTTTTGAATTTTAAAACGTGTCGCTTTCTGTCTCCTCCAGTCCTTAATTATTCAAAGGAAATCTGCTTCCAAGCATCTCGTCTTCATCGCTCAGCTTCACCACAGAACGTACGAGTTGAACTCAGAGCTCAGGAAGCCTGGTGTGACTTTAAAGCTTATATTTGGTGCTGAGTATTTAAAGTGCTGCAGTTTGCTGTTGTTCCAAAGAACACAACAGAGTTCCTGATCACACGTTTCCTTGTGCCCAGCATGCAATCTGTTTAATGACACCAGATGCCCCGTCTCACTTGGAAGGGCACCGTCGCCCATTTCTGATTGGCACCTTCAACAGGAGATAAAATATTCAAAAGCGTTCGCGCTCAAGGTCACCAGATTCCTCTCCGAAGCAAAGTTCTGGGAGCTGCTGGGGAGCGGAGCGGGGCAGGTCCTCACAAAGCAGCAGAAGGACATGTTGTGTTAGCTAATTTCCCTTTCAGATTCTGCAGCGGAGCCGAGGCGTGACAGCTGTTTGTTTTGGCAGGCCATCAGCCCAACACAGTAGCAGCAATGTCCGCCGCTCACATTCAATAAAGCTAATATAAGATGTGAAAAGCTCGAGCACACGTACGCTTATTGAACTGTGAAATTTCGGGATACACAAAACACCTCTTTACTGTAAAACTATATATACGTTCTGCTCAGCAAGCATGCAGCCCAGTGGGATGAAGGAGGCCTGATTGTTTTTGTGCCTGTCTTTATTTATACTGAATATCCTCGTGGGACTCCATAGACTCGGGATTTTCATCAGTTTAGAAAAAAAAACATGCTGCTTGAAGGCCGACTGCGTATTTTGTAAACGCCTGATTGAGACGTGATGTTGTCGTCGTCTTCCATACGACTGATGGAAGAAGTAACATGTTGGTGTTTGTTGGTGTGACGCTGCTGCATTAAGCATCATAAATGCCTCATCAGGCCTGTCTGTGTGGATTTAATGACACTTTCGTTTTTTCCTTTTGAGTCACCATCATCATCATCACCATCAGTTTTGTTAAAGACATTCATCTGCTGCTAACTGTAAAATTACATCCTTCTGGAATTTTCCTCTCTTATTATTCATCCAATTACTTTCATTTGTTCACTCCGTCTAAATTTATCTTCGCACGCCACCGTCTCCGCACAGAAAGCTCCATAGCAACCTTACATCACCTGTCAGCCGCTGCGCTGGGCCATTACATGCTAATGCCATTAGCCGCTCAATGGCACCGTGGTGGTCTCTCCTTTCAGAAACATTCTCACAGGAACAACTGGTGGTTAACGCACAAAGCTCGCCCGCTGTGCGTTTCCCTCTTTGCCCACATATACGTTAACGCCGGCAGAGCAGCGTCCTCCTCAGAGGTTCAAATGCCCCGAAGGCCGCGAGGAACAAAGAGAAATTATTACAGAAATGCTCCGTCCTGCTGCTGTAATTCACAACCCTCGTTCAGGAAGAAAAAAAAGTTTTATTCAAAAAGGTTGCCGCCTTTTTCTTTGACTAACCATTTCCTTTGTAACCCGTCAGCATGGGGCAACCTTGGAAACGTGCTGAAGAGCCAAGGGAAGATGGAGAAGGCCGAGCAGGCATACAGGAATGCCCTCTACTACCGCAGCAACATGGCCGACATGCTGTATAACCTGTGAGTCGTGTTTTCTCTTCATATTTTTGTGTGTGTTGCAATTAAAGTTCTCTCTAAAGATCAGATTTGGTGTCTGCTGATGTCAGCGTGCGTTCACAGCCGGCTGAAGAATGGACGAGTTCTCCTTTTACATGTGCGTATTGATCAGAGCAGTCGTCTCGGAGGAAGTGCCGTCTTGTCTTGTGTTCCCCAGAGTGCTGTCTCCCTGACAGCTTTATTAATGATACCGCTCCAGCCTGAGGGGAAGCACAAACCAGTCGGCCAACACTCGGCTCCGGTGTCTGGGGGTTTTGCGAAATCGTCCGCCTCAGTTTTATCGTCTGTTTGTGTTCTCGTTCAATCCTAACGGAGGCTTTTCAACTTTAAACGTCTCTTCTCTTGAAAAGCTTGTGCGATTTTTAAACCTCTAAACTGTCAGAACCGTCACGCCTCCTTTCTCTTCCAGCGGTTTGCTGCTGCAGGAGAGCAACAAGTTCTCCGAGGCGCTCCACTACTATAAGCTGGCCATTGGGAGCCGGCCAACTCTGGCTTGTAAGTACAGCTCTTCTTTTTTATTGACAATCTCCAGCTCTTGTGGTTGTGGCTGTGCTGTGTCCAGGCAACAGTGAACACAGGCTGTGGTTATGCGAAGGGGAAGGAATAGGCGGCAAAGGGCAGTGGGTATACGGTTGAATTAAACATTGAGCACAGCTGTGTGACTGCCTTTCACGGCCCACTTATGTCAACAGATCGAGCAAATGCGTGACGTCATTTGCTATGAATTCAGGCCACGATGCTCTCATTTATTTTATCCCTTCTATGTGCATCTACTTCTTCCTCTCGACTTCCCTCGCAATGTTTCCTGCTTTTCCGGAAATCCGATTTTCTGTCATCTTCGGCAGGTTCGCTCTCTGATTAATACAAACAGCTCACGATCTTTACCTGATCATGCAGCAAATTAGCTCCCCGTTGTTCCAGGCATCCGTCAATGACAGATAAACAGACGATCTTAAATGTCTCTTCCTTTCTTTCCTCCGGATTAATTATGCACCTAATCAAGATCACGGTTAGGCTAGAAAATTCCCATTCAGCATGCAATTATCCAATCTGTTACAGTCGATAACAGGGTTAATTAATTACCCTGAGCAGAGCAGCACGTTTTGACGCCAGAATGAGAATGTGACAGTTAAAGTGTTTTACTTTCAAGGTTGTGCCATTACTCACAGCCTTACTGGGATTTAACTGGAGCATTTTTATTCAATACAAAGACTCATCCTGCTCTCTGATAAAGCGCCATCGATTTGTGTCACGTTTCTTTTTGCAGAAAACCTGTCTGGAAGGCTGCTTTTGTCCCCGCGTGTCTTTTTCTTATCTGATGCCCATTTATTGCAGATCCTTACAATGGAATAAGTTATTAAATAGCATTGATGATATCGAATGCAATGCCGTGAAGGACAGATAAGACGTGAGGGTGAGGAGTAAAATACTCTGTAGAGATAACACGTTTCAGAGGAATAAGACAGTTTGTTTTAGGAGGAAACAGGACTGAGGATAAAAAGGTCTGACTCTCAACCTCTCCTCCTGAACTTGATTATAAATGTCGGCACCCTTTTGAAGATCCTCTCAGATTGATCTGGTTCATCAAGTTAATTTATTCCAGCAGCCAGGTTTGATAGTGAGACGAAGGTCCGCAGAGACTAATTAGTCTCCAGCTACATATTGATCACTGGATGTCTTTGACCACAAAAAAAAAAAACTTTAACAAGCGCCCAGAGCGTCCTGTGGGGTGCACACAAAGGCCAGACATGCAGCAACTTTGGTCAGCATGCAGGGTTAATGGTTGTACATGTAGATTTGTAGCAGGAGGGATTATTCTGGGAGAGCTGATCCACCTTAAAAAGACGTCCATGAACATTAGATCCTGGTTAAACCAACAAAACTAGAAACTTAAGCAGGAGGTCGTGGTGCCGTAATAAGCTGCAGCATGAGAGCAGTATCCGGTGTCGGGGTGTAGTGGCCACACTGGACATGTGACTGATGGGGGTCGGCGCCGGTACCACAGCAGCCTGTGTGGCTGCTACACCGGATGCCGTACTCGGTTCAAGCAGCCGAGGCGGCGTACGTCGAGCACACGGCGTCTCAATGCAAAGCAATTGATTAATCTGCTAGTTTTGTTTTTTCTCGTGGCATCATTATCTCCTCAACAATTACAAACACAATCAACCCTGATCGCTGTGACAGATCCGGGCTTTGTTTAGTGACGCCTCCTCGTACCGGCGCTCTCCTCGCTGCTCCTCATCACTTCTCTCCTGCTCGCATCCCGGCTGCAGGAAAACAGTCAGCTGGTGGCGACACAGCTGTGAATGGGAAAATAAATGAAACAGATGATACCGCTCACTTAATGCAAGCACAATTAACACTGGGCAGGACATTTGTAATCATACAGCACATTTCATTAGAGGGAAACTCGGTGTGCTTCGTGTTAGAATGCATGTACCAGCTGCCCCATGACGGGATCTCAACGCCGTGTTCTGTTTGCTTCTCTGAACAGCGGCCTACTTGAACACGGGCATCATCCTGATGAACCAGGCTCGCCTAGACGAGGCCAAGCGCACCTTCCTGACCTGTGCCGATATCCCAGATGAGAACCTGAAGGACCCTCATGCCCACAAGAGCTCCGTCACCAGCTGCCTGTATAACCTGGGCAAGCTGCTCCATGAGCAGGGACACCAGGAGGTAACAAGCCAGAAAAATATGTTTGTTTAGCTTGAGGGTACTTTTATATATTTCAGACTGTAGTAACATCCTGTAGTGATGACTGTGTTCACTTAAAGCTTTCATTTAGCATTTAAAAAAATCTCAGTTTTAGCAAAAAACTGCCTAAACCCAGACTGGATATGAGCTTACTGATTCATAGCTGGGGTTGTAAAACTATAATGCTGAATAGGATTTTTAATAAAGCAAATAGATGATGTCAGAAAATCACAACACGGTGAAAACAATCCTCCAGAATACTGCCGGTTACATTTTTGTGAATTACATTTTGCCGCCTTAATACATGAAGTCGGTCTTGAGTGCATGTTGCCTGATGTTAACATAATCTGCAAACATAGTTTGTCCAACAAACACCCCCACTGCACCTATGGGAGCAGAACCAGAGCTCCTTTGCATACTGCACATGTTGGAAAATGTTAAACTGTAGTGAATTGAGATAAAATGCAGGCGATTGGCCACAGAGCCTGATGGGGACACTGAGAAAATGCTTATTTTTATATGGACATGTTCCAGAATGGCCTCCGTCATGGGGGACGCAGCATTTACGCAGATAATCCTCAGGCTGTTTCTAAAAAAATTCACTCCCTTTCATGCCCCTAAAGACCTCCAGCGCTGGCTGAAGCAACTGGGTTCTTCAGGGCTGCACATTTATATTGTACATAAGCAGTGATGCTGCTGATTCAATCAGGAATGAAGCAGTGCTACTGCAGATTCAATAAAGGCCTTTATAAATTGTTGGCATGCTGGAGAAACAGAGCAGTCCCACTTCCTTTGACCTCTAACCGCAACATTTGCTTCAGCAATAAAGTAGTTTCAGGTCCTTTTACCATTTAAACTCGGAGGGACTCTGAGGTGAATTGCTGGACCTACACACTATACATGCTGGAGTCAATAAGTGACACCGCTCTGGTTGTCCTAACAGCCGTGACACTGAGGATAGACCCTTTGTGCTGAGCTCTGTATGAACCAGCCTCCCGGCGACCCCCAATTCCACGCTGTGTATTCATATTGTCAGGGCCTCGGCTGCATGGGAGGAATGACTAGTTACCCCAGAGCCGGGTCCTCTGGCAGGGTCTCTCCGCTCTCTAATGCAAACCTCCCCCACCTTCTTCTCTTCTTTTCTTTTTTTTTTATTTGTTTCATTCACAGGAGGCCCTCTCGGTGTTTAAAGAAGCAATACAGAAAATGCCAAGACAATTTGCACCACAGAGCCTCTACAACATGATGGGTAAGAGCTGCTTTGTTTCAGGAGCACAAATGCTTTTTTAGTGGGGAGAAAATCAGCCAGTGGAACTGAAGCTAACGGGTTATTTTTGGACTATTTTGGAGGACGGTTTGAAAATGGTCTGCACTTATAAAGTCCTGTTTTTTACCTCAGCGGTAGGCAAAGTGCTTCACATCGTTTCTCTCAACTGTTCAGAAACACTTGGAGTTCAGCGTCCTGCTCGAGGACACATCAAAGACGTCTGAGAAGCTCATTGGCAGCTGAGCATCATACGTTTATTTCTGTTCTTTATGTTATTCATTTATGGTTTTTAGGATTAAAAATGTTTGCTTCTGGATAAACAAAGTCTGAAGAAACATCCCGTTAAGTCTGGCAGGAAGGTAACGGCGATGCTTTCTGTTTGGTGATCCTGGAACCAAAGTCGTCCCAAAGTTTTACCCCAAAAGTTTTTATTTACATGAACTGACCTTGGAACAGAATACTTCATATATTTCTTCAGATGTTTAAGACGAATCCAGAAGATTTTAAACACTTCATACATACGAACACTTGGTTAAAATCACTCCAACCTTTTTTCTGGAATATGTTTTAGATTTTTTTTCTTCCCAATACGAACAGCTAAAAACCAAACTGTATATCCAGTTACATCAGTTTCTACAAGATAAGACCTCGTTTGAGACAACTAATTCGATTCCATGCTGTTGAGCAGTGTTTTGACTAGACGGTGGCCGGCTTTAAAATATCATGTTAACCAGAGTTAATTTGCTTTTCAATACAAGAGCAGTCGGCTTGTTACGTTCCAGCTGTAGAGCAGCTGCTTTCAGGCTCATTATATGTGCTCACTGCATTGCCTTTTCCTTTTTTTTCCCTCCGTCCTCTTCCTGCTTTCTCTCCGACACACACACTGGGAACCTGGGATGCTTGTAATCCGGGCTCGGTGCCGCCACAGGTTTGCTTATGCGCTGGGTAAAAAATGCAGTTTGACAGAGCTCCTGAGATTATGTCAAAATGTTGATGAAAGCTCCAGGCACCATTAGGAAGCAGCGCCGCCTCTGTAGCGGCGGCACCGAGCCAGAGATCTGTGATTTCTGCAGCTTAGCGTTGTTTCCTCGCTGAACTGATTTGCACATTTGGCACACCTGCTCGTATCTGGTCTCGGTTTCACTCACGGCGCTGCTCTCATGCCGTTTGTCAGACGCCAAGGCGCAGAAGCTTTCATCAGCGGCGGACCTGGGTGGTAATCTGCACCCTGCTGGTCCCGCTCCAACACTCTCTGGTGGGCTGAGGAATGTTCCGCGCCGACGAGCCGGTTTTCAGCTCCTCGGATTCGATGTCGCCTCTAATTGCGCGTTGATGTTTGCGCTAATCTCGCACGGAGGTCTGCTGCCAGGAAGGAGAGTCAAGTGCTTTGGCTGCTTTTAAAGCCATCAACAAACGAGGAGGTCACGTCAAAGCAGACTTTATGTTGTTTAAACAGTTTAGCACCTTGGGTTCGGTGTAAATCACTGAAATCCTGCTAATCCCGTCTATAAACGCTTTAAAGATTTATTAAAGTTAAATTATTCAAGATTCCTAAAAAAAAAAAGACCATGCAGCGCTCCCACGTGTCATTTTCAAATGAATAAAAAATAAAAGCCAATAAGGGGAAGGTAGTAAATGTTAAGGAAATATGGAGATCGCTATCAAACCGGTCTTATCCTCTAATCCAGTGTGTAGCTCTATCTGATGGTAGGCGACATATTTGATTCTGTAGTTAAATGTGAAACTGATGGAGAACATATTCCCACGTGCTGTCAGGTATTAAGTCCTGAGTTTATTTAGTGATAAAACAAAGTCCTAAATGAGCTGTGTGTTGGAGACGGCGTGTTTTCATATCGTTAAAAAGATCCACAAGTTCTGATTGTGTCACCTGTTGCTTATCACAGGAGACTGATTCAGCGCTGATCCCCGAGGAATTCAAATTTCAGTCTAAACAACTCGTCCCATCGCTTGACAGTTCATCAGACTTGACTGAAAACATAAACCAGCGTGATTTGAACAACTGGGACACATTCACACTCTCTTCCTAATAACTGTGTTGTGTTTCCAGCCCATGTTGTGGGATTTTTTTTTTTTTTTCTGGAGCAGTAATACGAGGGTTATTGGACGACTATGAAAGAGAGGTCACTGTTGTTTCAGGTGTGAGCGGGCGGAGGTCAGATGTGGCGGTGGGGGAGGTATCGGATGATGCCTGACGGGTCGGGCGGAGGGAGGGAGCGGTTCTCGGCCTCGCTAATCTGCTCCTGTAGCTCTTTCAGGAACACGCTGGACTGATTTGAAATTGACAGGCTTGTATATATTAAATTTGTAGGAAATCAAAATACTTTCAGTCCCGAGTGTGAATCGAGGGTTTGACACTGACAGAAGTGCATAAATCACACCGGCAGCGTGAGGGTGACACGTTGAAGCATAACAATTGCATCATTTCAGTTCAAAGCCTAAAGCTAATAAACTACGTGGAGCTCGAGCCGGGTCTCTGTACCCCACCGGATTGGGGTCTGGCCTCGACGCTCCCCTCTGTTATGGGAATCCTCGGAAGAACAATGGAAAGCTGTGCGATGTCTTAACCTCTGACAGTCTGACCCTCGCTGTGCTCTCACAGGAGAGGCCTACATCCGACTGAACAAGCTGACCGAAGCTGAACACTGGTACCGAGAGTCGCTGCGAGCCAAGCCGGACCATATTCCTGCACACCTCACCTACGGCAAGCTGCTGGCCATGACGGTAAGAGAGCACGCTGGAACCATGGAGCTCCACCACTGTAGGTTCCTTCTGCTTTGACTGTGGCGTCGTGCCGTCTTTGGCTTGATGTCACTTCAGCTTAAAGTTTAATAGAAAATCCTCTTTACATACATAAATCTGCTGTTTGCTTCCTCAGCCCCTCAGATCTTTTCCCTTTCGTCTTATTTTCCATTTCCAGGCTTTTCTTCTGTTAATGGTTGTAATGTTCTCCTGAAGCCGGTTAATCAATAGTATGCGGGTCAAAGAGAGCGATGAGAAAGCTCGCTAGACAAGAGAACAATGAGAGAAGGTGGTCGCATTGTGTTCCTCAAGATGCTCCTGCTTGTCTGGGAGTTGTACGTCCTGATTAAGAATTTTGTCATGGCTGCCCGGTTTTGTTGCCGGCTCTTGGAGAAGCTGCTGCATTCTCGTGCGCTCGGTGGTGTTACCCAGAAAGAACACAGAAATTAAATCTCTCAGCGCTGTAGGGAAACAAATCGGCGTCTAGCCCTGAATTTTCCAGGTCAGCAGAGATAACATCCTCTCAGGGTCACACAACAGTCCCGTGTCTCAATAAGCACAGAAAAGGGGCAGTTTTCAGAGTCCTGGAGTTTACGAGGAGGTGGCCATGTGGTGGGGTCACGCAGTCATCCGTTACAGATCGCTGCTAGATAGGTGTGTGTGGAATCAGAGCTGGAGAGGACTGTCAGAAGAGAAATAAACAAGTCGGAGGCGCAGAAGGTCAGAAGAAGGGTGGAGGCCTTCTCTGGAGCTGACGCTCCCACCGTCTGCGCCCTCATAAAGGACCTGGAGCGCTGCTATCTGGGTTTCCACAGAGAGGCTGCACTCTCCCTGGCCCTGTCTCTCTTCATTAGACTTCTGTTAAGTTTTTTTTTTCTTTATAGTCATTTCTACATTAGTGGATTTGTGTGCATCCCCACTTTAAACTGGCAAACCTGTTTTTCCAGAACACAATTTTTTGTGATGTCGAGCCGTTACATGAACACGAAATAAACTTTGAGAATCAGATGCCGCCTTCGTATCTGTTTGGTAAATACGATGCTACTGCCAGCAGCTAGTTAGCACGGTTCAGCACACGAGTTGGAACGGTACAGCTTGGCTCTATCTGTAAGAAAATCCACCTAGCAGCACCTCTGAGGATCACTAATTAACACATTACATGTTGGCCGTTTAATCCGTATAAATACTCAAGTGTGAAAACCGCACATTGTGGTATTACGGGGTTTTGGGTGCCAGAAGTTACTGAACTCAGCCAGGAAATAGTTTGGCATACAGCCGCTGTATAAATGCTGTTTTTTCTGTACAGGTTTTACTTTGGACAGAAGCAGCAATAACTGCTTCCACCTGTTTACAATGAGCTAAATAAATTAAGTGTCCCAAAACGACAAGCTGCCTTTCATCTGAGAATAGTCTTCGATTGCTCTCGGCTGCCGTGTATTTGCGGCTCGGCGTTATCAGCGCGTCGGGTGTCCTCAGTGAAGCGGCTGTATGCTGGTAAATCACTGTGTGCCTAAATTAAATTGAGCTCCTGCACCAGACCGGATTGATTTTCCATTCTGCACTCACGCTGATTGTCAGCTGAAAGAAGAGGTCAGCTGGCAGCGCAGATAAAAGTCACTTGTTAAGCTGACAGGAGTTCCCGTTAAAAACACTGGACATCAAAAAATTAAATGAAATCAAATCCCGTCAGCGAGGACGGTGTCGGGGAACAACACGGTTCTTTAGAGGGGCGGCGTTAAGACTCGGCGAAGTGGACTTAGGGAAGAATTCGGTGAGCCGTGAAGAGAAACTCATTTTATTTAAGAAAGTGTTATTGATTTTGGAGGAAAGTAGAGTTCAAACCTGCAGGGATAAATCTCTGTAGATCTCTGACCATGATGGATGGTGGAGGGATTTTGAGCCAATCCGATCCCCTGAGTGCAAATAATGCCATCAAAGACGGGAACTTAGTTGCTCGAACAGCCGTATAGTCGCTTTATCCACCAGAAGCACTTGAAAGAAAGACGACTTTAAACTGAAATTTCTCAGAAACTTTGCACCAGCGAACGCGGCTCTAATGTATTCTCGTGCTGTCGTAGCTGCGGCCTCTGCCTGATGACAACAGCGTTTAAGCGTGATCAAAAGCAGCGCAGGAAGTCGAGCCGCCCGCCAGACTTCTATCATCCCCTACCTCTGCACTCCCTGTGGCAAAACCGTGAGTGATGAAGACACTTCAGATGCCGTCAGGGCTTTTGAGGTTCAGATCCCTGAGGGGAAAGGGTGAAAAAGCTGCAAGATAAGGCTTGGCTACAGGGTCAGGGGAGGGTGAAAGGTGGACGGTGGAGCTGAGCTGGTAGCTGAGGCGCAGAGCGCAAAGGGAGTTGCTGTGATTTGTGGACGAGCGGAGGAAAAAATAGAAGAAAGAAGGGGGATGTAATCAGAGCTGGGGGGAGCAGCATGTGTTTCAGGCTGTGTGAGCACACTGCTGGACAGAGATGGACACTGGGATGCTTGCAATATTGGATTCAGTCATCCACTTGTCATTTCCTCAGCTAATATAACGCAGGCCTCATTCATAATCACTTCAGCGCCCACGGAGCCGGAGCTACGTCTGCGGTTTGTCTGATGCTATCAGGAGATTTGAGGTGTGAGGCACGCACGAATGAACTCAGCATGTGTGTGACAAAAGGGAGGATACAGTATTCGCACAATGAGCTGACTGGAATAAGAAGTGGGTATCACCAGACTCCTTATATCATCCCTGTGTCTCCCACCCCCTCCCCGAGCTAGTGGCCTCGAGGTGCTTTCAGAGAGGCGGCACTGCAACAGCACGTAATGTACAAAGGCAGAGACGGCGAAGCGAGCAGATTGTGCACTCACGTCACATACAAAAGTTAGATTTTTTTTGCCAGTGTATAGGCTCTACTTTATGAAGAAGAAGCCTGGCCTGCATGCTGATCAGATGGCTGATACAAAAGCTCTACCCAGAACAAATCTATTCCATTTCCACACTTTGAAAACCTTACTGGATGAATTGTGTTAACTTTGGTTATCCAAATGCCATCAGCAGGTCGACATTTTTCTAATTCTTTGGGTCGTAGCCAGAGACCCGCCCAAATACCTTACTTTCTAATTTAAGCTATATGTCAACATTTAGCCTTTACTGGTGTCTTTTAAGACCCGACTTTGGCCAAACCTGATGAACAAATTTAAGACTTCCTCTTTCTTCATCGTTCCATGACTGACAAACACGTGCAGATATCAGTCCATCTTTCCACCTCTTCTCGCTGCTCAGTAAACATCTCCCTGCTTCATACGACACACGTGGACGCAGATGATCGGCGCAGTCAGAGAGCAAAAAAGAGAAATGTCCGATCAGACAATAACTGAACCTGATCCAAAATCAGCGCCTGGAGCTTCACATCCTGCAGCAGGAACCTTCAGTGAATAAAGAAAAAAACTTCCCTCTTCAAAGCAGCGTTGGTCACACCTTCGATGAGAACTTGCAGTGATTAGCAACAGCATTAAAACCACCTGCCTCAGATGGTGTAGGTCCAGAACCGCTCTGAACCACAGCAGCAGATCCTTTGGGTTCTGTGGGTTGCAGGGCGGGGCTTTCTATGGATCAGACTGGTGCATCGTGGGAATGCTTGATCAAGTTTGGATCTGAGGAGGCCTGGTCAACACCTTGGAGTCTTTATCGTGTTCCTCGAGGTGTTCCTGAGCGGTTTTATCCGTGTTTATTAGCATGAACATGGTCTGCAGCAGTATGTAGGCGGGTGGTACCGGTCACTGAATGTCTGGATCCAAGGTGTCCCAGCAGAACAAGAGGATCAATGTCACTGGTTTTAGTGTTGAGCTTGATCAGTTGGATTAGAAGCATGACTGTGATTTAACTTTGAGGACAACAAGAAGCTAAACAACAGCTGAGTTCCATGATTGTTCACAGGTGGGCCAAACGAGGTGTCATCCAGAAACGTGAAGACGACAGCCAGCGTAAAGAAGTTCAGTAGTGAAGTAATAGAGCAAGTAGTATAACAAATTGCCTCTTTGGGGACAAATAAGAGCTGTAATTCCATTTCTCCAGAAGCCTTTTTGCCATGTAGCTCGCCCTGGACACGGCCTCCGGTAATGCACTCCGATGTGTCCCAATCCAACTCTTCCATCCACTCGCAACCGCAACTCATTTCAGTGTGTGAAAGCTCAATTTGGAGGATTTAAAAAAAAAAAGAAAGAAAGAGCAGCTGTAGGCGTGTGTTATTATAAAAGCAGCTGGCCCTCGAACGTACACATTCCTACATCTGCGAATATGAGAGTAAAAATACACAGAGATGATGCTTTTCAGGCCGGAGCTGTGATCGCTACTTGGACACCGTCGGCTCTATTAAACATATACTTAGCGCCGGCTTGATTTTCTGCTGCATCAAGGGAAACCACACTTAGATGTTTACATTAGAAAATTATGTATTTATTGAACGTGAGGCTCGCTGAAAACGTAGTCGCTTGACTAAGTATACATTCATTAATACGACGTCGTGCTGAATGGATTCCAGCCCGTTCTGCTGTTTGACTGGACTGAACTAATTTGCTGTGTTTCATCACTCATGTGCGTTATTTTTACTGGCTCGTGCCGTCGTTATGCAGTTCATCTTTTCTCATGCGTTGCCACATTATCTTAAGACTAACACAACTCCAATTTAACAGCATGTTTTATTCATAAACAGACATTATCTCCAGGACTAAAAAAACGCATACTGATGGCTGCATTATTAATGCATCGGCTTTTATTGATGAGTGCACATTGTTAATTGTTGATCAGATGGCATCTGGTGCCCAACTGAGAGCAGGGATGTGTCAAAGTCCCAGCTGGCGCCTCTATAGGCCAGCTGCTCGGTTCTGTTTGAGCTGTGATTGGTTACATGTCTGAAGGACCGGAGGGACTTCTTGGGATCCACAGGGCCTCCATGCTTCTTCTTCTGCTCGCCCTCCCAGTATGGATTCTTTCATGTCTGAAAGGGCTGGAACAACGACATACACACAGATAGCAACTGTGTGTGTGTGTGTGTGTGTGTGTGTGTGTGTGTGTGCCGTACACCTGTATTTGAGCCCCTGTGGGACACATAAGCCTTTGTCGTTTCCACCTTCTCTCCTTTCCACCTCTCCGCCTCGCTTCCTCGTTTCCATGCATCGCCCGCTGCCGTGTTTCATGGCGGTCAGGCCACACACACCAGCAATCTGCGGTTATGCTCTGGAAGTGTTATTTGCACAGATAAAAAGTGTGTAATGAACGAGCCTTTGCCCCGTCTGGCGCTCTGTGCCAAGCATGACATTGTGTACTTTGACGGGACGACACATGAGCCTGAAAGAATAACACTCGTGGTCCGCGCGCTCCGTGTCTGTTTATTAAGATTTATTGTTAAAGTAGGCCTGCGGTGGGGAGAGGGACATTAGGTACACACTAAGGTATTTTGGCTGTTGAGCTGAGTGTGGTGTTTTTATAATGACTGGTTTTGAGGAGCAGTTGAAACAATAATGACACTGTGTTTAATCCGTCTCTCTCAGGGGCAGAAAACAGAAGCGGAGAGGTACTTCCTGAAGGCCATCCAGCTCGATCCCACAAAAGGCAACTGCTACATGCATTATGGTAAGCACAGATTTACAGTTTTTTTTCTTTCCAATTCGACATATCCTGATTTTATTCTTATGTTACGAATATTTGATTTGGCCATTTAGCGTGCACTCGCTGCACTTGTGTGCACAAAGGCAGGAACTTGTACTCGTTGGCAGGTTGTTAGAACAACAGCGTTGGCTGACCCTTCTGCCGTTTGTTCCTCTGAGCAGCCATAAAGTCAGGCCGTACGTGGTTACTGGAGGCTCACGAGAAGACAGGATGATTTCCTGGGATTGTTCACTTTGATTCGGTGGAAATGAGGAACGTGACGGTGTCAGCATCCCTCCTGTCGTCCTTTAATGTGACTCACGCGAGCCGTAAAGTTGCAGCGCCGCCTCTGAGATTTAATCGTAACTGAGTTTAAATAAGCTGACAAGTTAATTACTTTCTGCCTGTAAAACCTTGTCCGTCTGAAAAGGCATCTTATAATGAAGTGATGCGTCAGCTCAGTGTCGCCGCTCCAGGCTTCAAGTGACATTTAAGGCGATCGATACACCAGGTTAATGGTGGACTTTGTTGAGGTACTGTACGTCTGGATTGTCATCTTTAAAGGTTAATCGATCGGGTAATGATAAGATGAGCTGTATTGATCCACAAACGTACGCTGATGACTTCAGCATGCATCCACTCATGCTTCGTATTCAGATCGGGGCTGTGGTTTAGTTTGACCGTTCATACGTTTACAACTGCTGGATGTTCATTATTTCAGATTCCCTGAGTTGCAGCTTTCTGATATGGACTGAATTAAACTGCCCAAACTGTCCAGAAGCAGGCGGACAGCGTATCTACAGATCTAGAAACGTATCGCTGCTACATTCATCAAAAGAAACCCTCAGAATGTACCAGAAAGTCTTCAGATTTATTTACTTATGTTGCTTGTCTTTCGACTTTGTCTTGCCTGTCATAGCCAATAACGTTAGTTATAACATGTTTTTGTATCCGATTGCAGGCTGTTGGAATACATTATACACACACAAATCAAAATGTGGACTTTTGCAGCAGTGAATTGTGCTGCAGAAGGTCATCCGGTTCATTTCAGTGTAGTTTAAGTCTATCAGAAGAATAGCAACGAAGTGCATCGTCTCCTGTTGGGCTTGTGTCAGTGTTAGCAGGAACAAAATGGTAAATAAACAGATGAATGAATGACTTTTAACTGTTTAATCCATTTTCTGTATTTATCGAGTTAACAAGTGTATTTAATCATGGGACTAATCGTACTGCGTCGTGTTATTTCTGCTGTATTTCAGTCAATGTAGAGTTTAAAAGGCCCAGATGAATTTACTACCACAACTATTCACTACTTCCTGTGTTAAGAAGTGAACATTCAGTCACGTTGCTGTGTTCTGAATCAGCCCGTCCTTGTACACAGATCATTCATGAACTGGTTTTTTCGCTGGTATTTTTTAGTTTTCACTCACAGACTTGCTTTGTTGTTTCACAAACTCCTTGTAGCTGCAGAAGGTTTGTGACCTGGAGCTGTTCCCTGAACATAGTCGGGGTTTGAAGCCTCACTTTAAGTCCGTCTCTCACCTCAGGCCTGTACCAGCGGCTACAGTTTCATCCACAGTTAATAAGAACAATATGCTCCGGTTCACTCGGTGGTTTAGCATCCTGGTACAGTGGTCGAGCTCACCAAAGTCAACAGGGTATTAATTCCTCTCTAAACCTGGCCCTTACCGAGGGGTCCACCCCTCGGTTCACGGCCTTGTCAGGCTTCCACAATCCCGTCTCATTAGGCGAGGTTAACTGCCAGGCAGGCGCACCCGTAATAAGACACAAAACTTCTGCGTGGAACGTTTTCATCTTAAAGAAACAGCTCCATCAAGGTCGACTAATCTGAACAAATGGGCCTGAAAGATGGCCAATGAGATGTAGCGCTCATATCTAGTGTTTCAGCGTATTATTGCGGGGGCAGGACTAGCTTGTCCCTCTGCGTAGGCCAAAGGCAACACGACCAGACTGTGTATCCCTCTGTGCCTCTGTGGGGATCCCTTAGTGTTTTAATAGTGGTGCTGTTCTCTCCTGCCCTGCCAGGTCAGTTTTTGTTGGAAGAGTCGCGGCTGCTGGAAGCAGCAGAGATGGCAAAGAAAGCTGCACGCCTTGACAGTGGGGAGTTTGATGTGGTCTTCAGTGCAGCCCACATGCTCAGGTAAGTGTTTGATTGGAATACTTCTTTTTTTCCCCTTTTTTTTTTTTTATGTTTGATGATTTCCGAAGTCCAACCACATTGACAAAGACACTGTTCAGAATGTATTCTGTGTGGATGAGATGGGTGGGCCACGGTTTTCCACGGCTGACTAGAAAGGAGGCTGTATGAGAGAGGGAGGTCTACTGTCTGCACGGTTTATCCAGGGGCTTACACTGTTCCTCAGCCTGTGTGATTTACTTGGCTGTACTTTGTAATCCTCTTCTTTTGCTGCAGTGCCAGTCCCAGAACTGCTGGTTTGTCTTAGCGCACGGTGAGGCTATACATCTTCAGCTGCTGTCTCTCAAACGTCATATAGCTCTCCCACTCTGTCTCACACTTCCTCTGCTGGCCGGGCCTCATATTTGAAACTACGCCTCCAAATCAGTGCAGAGTTCAGCTGATGAGCCTGAGCAGAAAAGCCCACAAGCTGTTGTGTTTGTGAACACGAGCCATGAGTCAGAGTGTGTAAATACAAGCATGTGCCAGCTTACTGAAGCCGCCCCGCTGACTAAACCTACAAAATTTCACCAGCCAGTGTCGAGATTTTCTTGCTTAGACTCATCTTGTTTTGTTTTGGGTTTTTTTGCTAAGATGGCTGTCAAAAAGCAAATGTTGAAGATGAACTGACTTGTCTTGGTGAAGGTGCTGGTCCTCATTGGTGCTCCAGCTCCATGTAGGTTTCCACCCAGCTGCGTCTAGCGTAGCTCCTCCCCCACCGGTCTGACCATGTAGCGTCCCGCCACCAACAGCTTTCAGTACAGAGAGCCTCTTCCAGGGTCCAGACCCCTGGCAGCTAAAGAGAGCTTCAAGCAGTGCTTTGGTTGAACTCATCTCCGCCTGCTTGGCATGGGGTCTCCCTCCTCCACAGCTCATGGTCTTTATGTGTTTGTCTTGGACAGAGACTTGGAAAGGGCCTCGGTTGGTGGGGACATGAGTGAATCTACACAGGAGAACGGAAGAGATTAAAAGGAAGAGCAGAAGCTCTCAAATTTGCAAATGTCATTTATTGCCCTCCCGGGACTTTGCTTTTTGACCACTTTGCCTCCAAACTATTAATTTCCCTCTGCTTCCTTTGAACAGGTCTCATGTGTTTTTCAGAAACCAGCTCTTGTTTATGGTGTGAAAGTAGGACAGGAAATGTTGGTTAGCAGTAAGACCAATGGCTGTGCGCTCGTACTCGCCTTTAATACGTCAAATCCCACGAAAAGTGAAAAATTACTCTGTGGAGTCGCGGAGTAAAGTACAATCTGTAGATATCCACAGACGGCCGGCGGAAGGGGGGAGGAAACATTATAAAACACACAGCAGCAGGTTATGCACTCATAGTTTCCCCCATAGCTTCCCATCTAAACCATATGATGATATAATGATATAATGCACATATGTATGATTGATTTGTATGTTCGCTGAAACAATTTGTTCATAGTTGGCCGTCTCAGTTTCCAGTAAGCGTATACATGGGTTTGATTTGATAATCTCATAATGGTAATAAAGAGCGTTGGGTACCAGGCTACGGTAGGTGTACTGCACATACAGTACTGGCCTCAGGGAACACGTCTGCGTTCAGTGCTGCTCTCTAACTTATAAAATCCTAACGCTGAGACAGATGGAACGGCTGCGGTTTAAGCACAAATGTCTGGCTGTTGTTGGAAATACAATTTGCTCAGTCAGTCATTAGCATCCAACAATGTCACGCTCAGAAGAAGTATCTGTCAGCGCAGTGATTTGTGCTTGTCTGGGGTTAATAAACCATCACCAGACAACAAGGCAGGAAGATCAGTGGTTTGGTTGTTGATTTGAAACGCGGACAAGAATTTTTGCCTCCTCGAGGGAGTCTTGTTTTTTTCATTCATGCTCCATTTTCTCACCATTCTGCCTCTTTGTTCAGGCGCTGCTGTAGTCTCACATTGACTCGTCCTCGGGTTAGAACCAAGCCGGTGGTTTACATAGTTGGCCTCCATTGTCTCTCTCAGCCCTCCATCAGACGGCTCCTGGAGGTCCTGCCGTGGCAGCTCTCCAACACTCCTCTGATAATGTGTTTATAAAAGTGATAATGACATTACAGGATTAAATATGTGCAGGTTTTTTTTTCTTAGGAGGTTGTGCTCTCTAAATATTATGCTGGCGAACAAACACATGGTTGTGGTTGTAACCCACATTTATAATCTCAGGACAAATTCAGCAGCTGAAGTTGGTGTTTGGATCCCTGCTGGAATGTAAAATGTTTCTTTGGAAGTATTTTAGAAAAATTCTGTTGTGCTTAAACAAAAAAACAACAAGCAGCCGCGTCTAGCTTGTCTGTATATCTGAAGTATGTCGGTGAATAAACACGTATGAGACCTTCTTTAAGATTAAACTCAGACTCCGTGGCAGCATCTGTCGCTCAAAGACTGAAATATCTCAAGAACTTTCAGAAAGTTCTGCATGAAATTCTGCACAGACATTTACGTCCTCGAGGGGATGAATCATGCCGACTTTGGTGATCCCCTGACATTTCCCGTAGCACCACCATGAGGTTCACATTTATGCTTTCAAGTGAGATGTGTCAACAGCTATTGAAATGCAGTGAAATGTGGTGCACACATTCTCACTCTCCAGGGATCAGCTGTAATCACAGGGCCATATATTTAGTTGTTGTGTAGTTCCACCATCAGATCAAGTTCTGTCATCTGTCCAGAGCTTTGTGTCAAATACCTGCTAAAATAAATTCTTTTTAGCAAATGTTAGCATGCTAAACTAAGGTATGCAGACTTGCTGAACAGAATTAGAACTGCCATTACAGTCTGTGTTAGCATGTGGCTAATTCCAGCCTTACAGAGCTGCTACCACTGTATTCAGTAAATACTCACATTTCCTGGCATGTTTGCTTTTGGCCATAATTAGTTTTGAGTGTTACTGTTTTCATTAGTTTTAAAATGAGACCTAACTAAGTTTTCTTACTCTGTCTCAAGTTACTGATTAACATAAATTCTCCTCTCATAGATGGTTGAGTAGAATCGAGCATTTAGACCTCACAAGACAGTGACTTTCAATTCAAAACCAAACACTCTGAGTGTATTTAGGTCACTTTAGGAGCCTTTTCTCTGCAGCATCACGGGGCAGGCACAAGGTGGCACAAGGTGGCACAAGGTGGCACAAGCATTTACAGCATCTACTCGGCCCGTTCATCTTTCCATGTTTTGTAAGCTCCACTGGACCTCCAAGGTGATGTAATAGTTCTGAAACAGTTTTAACCACAACTTTACTTCAACAACAACAATAGTGAGCTGGTTGTTGCTCTGCTGGTGTTCCACCAATCAGCAGTGAGCTCTGCCCAGTAGGATTTCAGGACCTCACAAGTATTTACCCCAGAATAGGTATTTAATTCTTCTTTCCCTAAAAGAGGTCCTGCGCCGGCGGTTCCTGCTGTTCAAAGGCAGCAGCCGCCCTAAAACAGCCTGCAAGTTCCTGCAGTGGTAAACGGCCTTCTTGCCTTTAGTCTGGAACCATACAGATGTTGATCTCTTAATGCGCTGCGACAGCCTAAATGAAGCTGTTGTTCCAAAGGCCTTGCTTCCTTTGATCATTACGACTTACGGGCCTCCACAGCCAGCCGCCGCTCACTCTGTCCTTGACTTTGTCAAAGTTAAACTGTTTGCAATTAGACAATCGTTACCATCAGTGAGCAGAATGCAGCTGTGGATTATAAAGGTGATTTCTAAGATGCTAGAGCGTTAATAACATGAAGCGCTTTGTGACGCTGAAGCTGCAGGTTTGTGTTTAACAGTAGGAAGATCAGTGGATTATGAAAAAGGTAGGACGCATAATTTAGGGCATTCGTGTCTCCACTGCAGGTTTTATGTCCTCGGGAACAAAATATTTCTGGTTCCAGGGACTCATGCCGACAAGCCATCTGGCCAAAAGTCCTTTTTGTCGCAGTGTGACATATACAGCATGTTCGGTGCATCTGTGCCATCCACTCTGCTGTCCTGGTTTTTTGTTTTAATGAAGGTATGATGAAGCGATTTTGTGTTTTCATAGCGTCTGCACATGTTCGCTGTCTCATAAAGGCAAACCTCATTCTCCTAAACCAACTGTAAACATGAACCTACAGTGAATATTCCTGATCAGCCTCGTTTTCTTGGTTTTCTCCAATAAACCAAATGTCCTGACCTCAAGGTTCAATTAGAGCAGAAAGTGCTTGCTGTGCACTCCTCAGCACAGATGTTATCGAGTGAGAGATGCTATCGAACGAGGAGCCTACCAGCTCTTCTCATCTCTCATGCCGTTTCCACCCCCTGTTATTTTCTCACTGACCCCTAAGCACCAGTAAACACACCGGGTTCAAGGCCTCATCCGAAGCCAGGAGCAATAAAAATGAGTAATGATTGCCTCTTTCTGTTTTCCCTTTGCAGACAAGCCAGCCTAAATGAGGCAGCGGAGAAGTATTACGGACAAGCAGCGAGCCTGAGACCCAACGTGAGTAAAACCACGACCAGCTAATCCTCCCCCCGTTACTATTTACTCTGATGGACACTGTGCAATCACAGTCTGGGTGGCTTTCCAATATTATTACTGCCCAGTCTGGCTCCTCACAATGGCCTGCATTGTCAGCGGTGCTCAGAACAAATGACGTTTTTTCACAAAGCTCAAAGGTTTGCTTGTGTGACATCCATCAGCAACTTCAAAGAAGAGGCCAGGGTAAGCAGATTGAAAAGAATAATGATAATAACACTCAGTCAGGGGACTCTGACATGGAGAAAATGAATGGGGTCCTGTCTCTGGGAGCTTTGACAGGAAGGGTCAAGTTGTTTAAGTGAAGGCCACGGGGGGAGCCAAATATGTTTGGCATGTGGTCGCCGTGTTTATTCCCGAGTCTTGATTAGAAGGAATCAGATTAGGATTAATGATGAAATATATCTGGACCATGTTATACAGACAATAAAGTTTGGCTCCGTGTGCGCTCGGCTATGATATATACAAACACTGACAAACAAGACAAACAAAAACTGGAGTGGAACAGAAGGATAAAATTTTACATTTCCACAGAAGCCATGAAACCGAGCTCCTCTTCCATACGCTGCTGCTCTCAGTGTCAACTTTTGCCAAAGCGCTGTGTATTTTTAACATCTAATTAAACCCAGATGGAAGGTTAGAAAAATAATTTTTCCGATTGCTCCAGTTGAAATCCATACATAAATAATGAAAGAAAACCGAAGAGCTTAAGATGAACTGTGGGAATATTTGCAGACTCCTCTCCGTGCTTTGATAAGAACGTTACATCAGAACGCCGCTCGGATTTTATTCACAGTCAGATGCCTTCAACAGAACAAACAGGTCCATCATGGAGGCCCAAATCCAGCCTCCTTAATACATCCAGGAGGGAAACCAGTATCCACACCAGGCAATTTGGAGGCAACAAGTCGGCTATTCCAGCTCAGAGAGAGTTTGAACCGCTGAGAGCACCATTGTTGCTCCACCGCCCGTATATCTATAGCATGTTTATATTCCCCACGTTTCTATTCCTGGGCCACATCATTGTAATTTTCACATGACCAATTCTTGGCATCTGTAGCACACATCTGATGCCTACATCCAAACACAGAGGCCCTGTTGTGCCCCAACTTGGTCACTTTTGTTTGGATGCCTTTTGTGTTGCTTAGAGCTGAGGCGCAATCATAATTTAGCGTCTTTATCCGTCTTCTTTACCAGCATCCTTTGTTCTCTCCCCGATATTTCTTGACTTAAGCCATGTACCCTGTCTGTCTTCATTTGTCATTGCATGCTTTACTGCGGCTTGACTCTTCGCTCTCCAAAGGCACTGGTGTTTTATATTAAGCACATATGTCTGCTCGCTCTGAGTGAGAGAGGACAATTCCCTCCATTCAAGGGATTTAGTCCTTTAGTCCTTCAATCCCCTCTATCTAGACGGGCTAAACCACATCGGATGCTTGCTTAGCGTCGCTTGCTCTCTGCAACCTATGACATCTGTCCTTTGAAGGTTTCCCACTTTATATAGATATCCTTTGCCCGAATGCCCATCTGAAGTTATTAAAGTTCCCTAACCTACAGCTTCACACTGAAAACTCCTCGTCTTTATGGCGTATGTTGCTCTACAGTGGAGGCTAATATGCTCTGCATCTGGCCGTGCCTCTGCTCCTAAATGCCAGTTTTGGCAAGCGTGGGGAGGCAGAGAGGTTACAGAGCAGCAGGAAATGAGAAAAAAGAAATGCACTTTTTTTTTTTTTTTGACCAGGCAGCTTTCAGCAGAGTGTTGCGAGGGCAAGAAGAATGCAGGAGCAGGGGTATAAATCACCAAACGTCTGAGATATATGAAGTAGGGGGGAAAGAAAGGCGTGTAATGAAGTATAAGTTTGAGCCTACAGGGGAGGCTCGAGGAAGGAAACTAAACTCAGGGATTGATCAGTTCTGCATGGGTGAGGAGATCTTTTGAACTCATTGCAGCTGCACTGAGAAGACAACCAGGAGTCACTTGATTTGCTGCCCGGGAGTCTCTGTTTCATATGTTGCAGCACTCATCAGTATCTGTGCCGGAGAGTCAGACAAACTGCACACAAGCATGCTCACGTCTGCCTTTTATTTCCCACTCTGTCCCGTCTCCCCAGCAAACGGACCAAACATGTCGATATCAGTCTTTTAAACTTCTTCCATGGAATTGTTTACATGTCTTCATCAACAGAGCATCCGTCTAAACCCTGCTTTCATCTGGACACACTTTGTTGTTAAATCCCATTAAAGGCAAACTGCCCACTGGCCTTCTCCTGCAATCTGTGTCATCTGGACAGGGAGAACGTCCAACCTATTGTCTGTGATATCACGGCGTTGCCACGGGCTCAAGCCAATGATACGAGAAGCATGAGTTGTCACTAAAACAGGAGATTTACCAGCAACCGGATAAAAGATGCAAAGTGACTGTAGTCATGTCAGAAAGCCACGCGGGGTATTAATTAAAGCGCTGCCATTCTGTTAGTCAGCCACTTCAAACACTCTGAGTTAAACTGTGAACTCAGTGACTTCTCAGAAACAGACTGGCGTGAAGGGAGGATCGCATTTCTCCTTATAAAGAATCCTCAGCCGCTCCTTAGAACTGCATTAGCGCTGATTTTCCAATATGCACCTACTTGCCACCTACACGTTTGGGCTGCAGTAGTTACGCGTGGCCCCTTCCAGCACATCCATATGTGTAAACAGTTATATTTTGGTTAGCAATTTTCTGACTGGTAAAAACCACTAACTTGCAAATTGATCCCGTTGCGTTATTTTGTGGTCTGACCCCTCAAACGGTGGGGTCAACCGGGAGGTAATTTACAGCGCAAACAGCCTCAGAATTACCCCAGCCATTAAACACAAGAACCCCGGCTGCTCCTGAAACACGGGAGGAGATTTTGTTTTGCTAGGAGATTAGTGTAATTGCACAATGTGCTGCGAGTGTAGTAAGGCTAATGCTTCGTAATGAAATTTAAACATAAATGGCGTGCATGTGGAGAGCGTGTTGGACAGCTCACGTGTTGGTCGTTCTGTCAGGCGAAGCACCTGTCGCATGCGTTAGACGTGTGGAGGGAAGACGTGGCTCCGCTCCAGAGGACGATGGGATTATTCCAGAGTTTCTTTGATTTATTCATCAAGTTAATTCTGCCTCTGAGAGAAGCAGCACTGGTGGACATATTGTTCCCATTCAGATGCTCATGCGTGGCACATCACTCAGCCCACCTCGACACTGGAAAAACAGCTTTGAAAGTTTTGTAAGACGCAGGTGGAGCAGAAGGAGGCTGATCTACCGCGGGAATCAGATTTCAAACCTATATAATGAATTGGATTGAATTTTATTGTATGTAATGAGTGTGTATAACATCCTGCTGATTCCTCATAACATTTATAGAAAACACTCGTCTCTCACGCAAAGCATTGCTCTCAGAATTAGCGGTGATTAGTTCATTAGCCGTGAGAGAGAAGTCGTTGGCTGACGCTGCAGCTCATCAGTAAATGTCAAGTAATGGCGTGGCCTTCCACGTGACGACGATCTGTTGGCTGATAATTGTAGGAAAAAGTGACAAACGCTGCAGTAAAAGCTCCCGATTGGCCGTTTTCACTCGGGGTGTTTTTTATTTGCACATTCCCAGTTCCCTAGGAATTACAATTACACCAATTACAATAGTCCTGAGCAGTAAAACGGGAGCTTCTCTGCAGGATTAGACATCTTTTCCACAGCCCGACCTGAAGTGGTGATCCGATGCAGCCCCTCCCTTGATGTGATTGCACCCCAGACACTTTTCCTGTACTTACGTCCCCATGACTCACCCCGGTGGCGCTGATGATGATTTCGCCCCTTGGCACCAGCCGGGATAAACAGTATATTCATCTGGACCCACTTCAAAGTGGCGCTCGCTCCCTCTGACATCTATTGCCACAGACAAGACACAGGGACACGCGAAGCGGCTCGGCTGGCGGCTCCAAACACAGGGTGGGGGATCCGACGAGCGGGAACCAATCGGGTCGGCCGCTCAGCCTCGTATGACGACCAAATGTTCTGCTATAGCGACTGTTCTATTTAAAAAGGGCCAAATAACAGTGTATTCTATAGCTTTATTTAGAACCCGATGCTGACATTTTCCAGGCGTTCTGCTTTCAGAAATAACATTTTCCCGTTTGGACTTCCATCCGGGGCACAAAACAGTCAGATCCATTCCCTCCCAAAGTGTGAGGACTTTATCTGCATTATTCATCCGCCCCTGCTTGGTGTACAATTCTGTTTTTTTGCGTTAACTTCTCTGATCTAAACAGTGAATAACTTATTCTCTCTGTGTGCTAACTTGCTGATTCACTGTGTTCATACCTCCTGTGCTCTACCTTCTCCTCATTACCGGCGTCTGAGCTGTTGCGTTGTTATTGTCGAGCGTATCTTTGGAACAGGGCTTTAGGCGAGCCCGAGGTCCTCTCAGTGTGGAACTGATTGTGCTCTAAAGTGACTAAGATCACTTTTTTTCTCGGTTTCAGTACCCCGCTGCCTTGATGAACCTCGGGGCAATCCTCCACCTCAATGGGAAACTGCAAGAAGCTGAAGCCAATTACCTCCGAGCACTTCAACTGAAACCCGATGACACCATCACCCAGTCCAATCTGCGTAAGCTGTGGAACATTATGGAGAAACAGGGCCTGAGGACGGCGAGCCCCTGAGCTCACCCGGCCGCCCGCCTACCTGCCATCTGCGCACCAGACCCGAGGACGAGGACGGCCTACGTGCTGCTCGTTCGCTCTTCTGGTCCGGGAGCGACGGAGGAGACTCAGGGAGGATGTTTGCTCAGAGAGGCCACGACGGTGCTGCAGAGTCCTCCTCATGACTCCTGAGCTCCACATGCACCTCAGGCCAGCAGCTCTCCTCACTAGCATCGCTCACACTTTGGCTACGTGGTATCTGGACTCTAAAACTTTCTTCAAAACTCGTGCTCACGCAGAATTCATGTGTTTTTCTTTTTTTACTTTCCTTTTTTTTCCTTTTATCATCAGAGCACTTGAACTTGAAGCAGGTACATCCTTCAGCATTTGTGATGAATTACACTTTTAAATAAGCAGTTACCTTGTAAAGGGTGAAACAAGGCCCCCAGTAGTGCAAGGTGAAATACGAAAGAGAGAAAAGACCCAGAGTTCTGGGTTTGACCAGAATTTCTATTTTGATAATGAAGAAAATGAGGTAATATGAAGAACCACATCCAGAACCTCCGTATTAATCATGTTAGTCAGGTTTATACCATTTAAATCTCCAATCTGTGTTGTTTTTTCCACATCCTCTATTGATTTGAGATCACACACACCTCAGTGAAGAAAAATGAGCACCATTATTGCAAAACATCTGTAGCAGAGCTTCAGTACAAACTTGAAAAAGGGAAATTAATTCTTTAGCCATTGTAGCGTAGCCTCCAGAAAGGCTGGAGTTTGCCAAATGCAGCATGTTTTGGCAAGAAAACTCTAAAAGCAAAGGAAACTCACAGAGTAAGTGGTGCGAAAGTGTAGCATCCAGGTGGAGTTTATCATTCCAGCTTACTGTTCTGCACTGGGAAGGTTTATCCTCGTCAACAACAATGAGAAGCTAATGAATAGAAACTTTAAGCTACCGTCTCGTGGAAGTCACAAATGGGGCAGGTACTGTAGTCGTGGGTACGCCGCCTTCCCTCGAGCTTCGACAGATGAAGGAGCTCTTTCTAACCAAATACAAAAGCTATGCTGATGCACACCTTCCAATCACGGGACGGTGCGCGGCCGCGGCACGTCGGAGGGAAATGTTTTAATGCCTTTGTGTTGGAATAAAGTAATTTCAATGTGTTTGTATAAATGAATCCTAATATATTACCTACGTTGTGTATAGTATACAGAAAAAAAAAATCACGCAGCAAAAAAGTAGCCGGACATCAAGCGGAAGTGTTACGACACAAATATCTCCCGTTGGCTCTCAGTCTTAAGGTCTCATTTGTACATATTCTGTGTAATTAACATCTGTTTGTTTGTTTGTTTATTGTCGTCAGCATACAGTAAGTGAAACAGCACCTTCCCGGAAATATGTACAGTGTTTGTGATCATTTGTTTGTTATCGGCCACGAAGCTCCTCCACCTCCCATCCGTGTCCTCCTCAGTTCGTCGTAACTTATTGCTCCGTGTTACCTAGCAACAGAACCAGCTGGCACTGTGTTTTAAGATGAAGGAAGTTAGTTAGAAGGACGATGTGATGTATATGTTTGTGGTCATTACTGAGTAAAATCTCCAAATACACTTTATGTGGCGAGTACGGAGTAACATCTGCAACGGAGGGTCAAGATGTTTGAATATGTGTCACTTGTCGCTGTTCTGTTTTTCCACGACGATGGTGATGTTGATAGTCAAAGTTCACACTCATTCCCACTAATCACACACCCCACAATCAAAATGTGCTAAATCTTCTCCTGTGTGTATATAAAGTGTTTATGAAGAAAACACTGATAATTGTCATTTGCTTGAGTGAAGGTGTAAAAAGTAAAAAGAAAAAAAGAAAAAGAAGAAGCAGCGTTTCACTCTGTGTCTCTGCTCAGGGATCTCAGGCAGTGGGCTATCGCAGACACTTGTTCACAGAGCGTTTACTAAATTAAAATTTATTTTTGAAAGTTGTCGTATTTGTATAAATTATCGAGATTTGTAGCCTTTTTCTCCTTTTTGTAATATAAAAATGAACAATGTGCCAGAATAGACTTCTTTTCTTCCCGATGTTGCTTTTTTTCCACAATAAATTTATGGTGTTTCTGCTTTTGTGGGTTCCTGTGAAGCCATTTTTTGGGGATAAATTTATGAATGTGAGGGGTTTTTAACATCTCCTGCCATTTAGAAGCGCAGCGGTCCAACACACTCTGCAGCAGCATGTACGGTTCTGGGTCGGGCTGCCTTCATGTGGGACGGCAGCGGGCTTAATGGGGTGGTCCTGCATGCTGTGGAACAGGTTTTACAGCGCATTTAAAGTTCCCCCCCTGCAAATTTGCTAAAATGTGTCATAAAATCAACTCAAATGGATCTCCTCTGCTTTGATCTGCGAACAACAAAGCAGACATGTAAATATTCCCATATGGACGGGGTAGCGCAGTGTGTGCATATGGCCGCCCCCACATCTCAGACCCCGCTGACAGGCTGAAGGCCCTTCCCTGAGAGTGAAGCATTCTGCCTTGTGATGTTTCTCACATGTCTGCGTGGAAGGTCTGCCCCCGTGATCCCGGCTCACCATGGTGCCCAGCTTTCCTTATTGCGGAGGAATGCAGCTCGCACTGTCCACTCCGCTCTGACTCGTCTTCTCATAACACAGGTGCGCCTCGCTTCATCTTGGCAAGTAATGAAATGGGGAAGCTTGCTGGTTTGCGGGGCAGTGAAGTCACGCTACGAAGGCAATGCACTTTTATTTCTTGCTACAGAAGAAGGTGCACATTTGGGTTTCTTCCCACATATGCTGCTGGATTTAAACATCACACACACGGTGGTCACGGCAGTAGGAGAGGCTGCTGTAGGGACACCAGTTTGATCGAGGCTGAAATATATCAGCTAATTAAAGTGAGTTTATCAAAACTGCAGATGTTTGTGGTCTCCAGAGGAATAATCCCAACAATTAGTAAAACTACGGGTCATATACTGCATCTATACGTCCAGCAGTTTGTGCAGACGTTCCAGCAAAAATATACCATCAAGTTTCTTTAGACGTGCCTCATTTGGTACCCGGTTTTATGATCTGGAATCATCATGAGATCAACATTTTAATCTGTCCTGTAGTTCTTTTATGACAAGATACTTGCAAAACTGGTGGCTGAACTGAGATAATTTCTACGTACATGGGAGCATTAAATCCGCCGTGATGTTGTTGTGAGTATTTTAACACAAATGAATTGTTTGCAGATCTACTTCATGATGCCAGTATGTGATTCCTGCACAATGTCTACCTTACAGATGTATTTATTGGCAGAGTTTTGGTTCTTTGCCTGATAAACGTATAGAACCTAAACACTGCTAATTCCTGCAAGGTATAGACAATGTGCAGGAGTCTGTTCGAAACTGAATATCTGCTCTCATTAGCATTTAGCTCAAAGCACCACTGTACTAAGCTGCAGCCTCACTAGCATGGCTTTGGACAGTTTGTTCTCATTGGCTGGTGCAGTATCCACCACTCCAACAGCGACTGTAGCTGCATCTGAATGCTAATATCTCATTAAGCTAAAAGGCAATCTCTTGAGGATCCATTTGAGGCCTATTTTGTATTGTTGGTTTCATCAGTCTTTCAATTCAGCCAGTTGTCAGCAGTGTAAAACCCTGCAGAGCTTCCCTCTGGACATGTTTGGATGCAGCTTGGAGGCCGTCCAGCGCTGGTGAACCATGTCGCTAACTGGAATGTTAATTATTTCTTTGATGCCGACACTTCAGCGCTTATATAAGCAGACCTATAGGCACGACTGTAGCCTGAAAGATGTATTAGCCTCGTTAAAGTTCATGCAGTTTCAAGGACTTGGCTTGTCTTTTTGAATTATTTAAATACAGTAAATGGACCATCATTCGGGCCGTGCAGCTACGCCATAATACTGAAACTCTGTCTGCACAAGTCTAATGTGCATCTGTTGCCAAAATAACCAAACTAGCTTTGCTAAAATGAACGAAGCAGACACATGCTGAGCTTATTAGTTTATTTGGATCTCAGTGTCAATGGCCTTAAAACAAACAGTGATGTTTCTGGGCTCTCGTGTCCTGGTTTGCCTTTAAACCTCTCAACACTCGAGTGTTTGAGTGTTTATGCAAGCATATAATTTTGTCAGTTCTTGTTTGCACTGCACAGCTTGGATTAGAGTGGTACCATAAAGCAACTCAAGGATCCGCTGACAGCATCATTATGGCCGGCAAAGCGCCTGCAAATTAAATAATCAGAAGAATTTTAGACTGATGTGAAGCGGCGTGATCAAGTGGTATAGGACTAATTTAAGGTTTTATTTCGTAGCGCGAGGTGCATTACTTTAAAAACAGATGTCAGGAAGGTTTGACAAGAAAAAAAAGGGACTTGAAAATATTTTCCTCGCCTGAAGAAAAACCTCATACACCCTCAATAATTTTTCTTTTATATGAAAACTATCCACGTTTGTCTCATGGCATTAAACAAAAAGCTGGAATACCTGAGTGCAGCTCCTCAGGAAATAAAGCCGGTCTGTGTTCTGCTCCTGTGACGCTTTAATGTGCTTCTTTGCTTTTTATGACCTCTTGCACTCGAGAGCAGCTCAAACTGAGAGAAAGGAATTTGTCTTATTACGCTGTGATCTGGAAAATCTGCCAGCTGTTATCAAGCAAATATTTTTTGGTATGTGCTGATGAACTATCACCACTTTGATCTGGAGCGCCTGAGCCGGGCCCGGCAGCTCCTCCAGAGCGGGTCGGCTGTGCGTGATGCTGAGAAGTCCTCCCCTCTGGACCCAATACCCACTGTTATCATTTGATAGAAGGAGCATTAAGATGAAGCTCCTGCATGAGATGCAGACTCTGCCTCACTTTATTAAAGTGTTTTGATGTCCAGAGAGGATATTGTTTTCTTTGGCGTTACGTTACGAGGCAATATGTTCTGCTGTAGCCCGGTGCAGCCGGACCCGCTGCTTCTAAAGGCAACGTGGTAATTAAAACGTGGCAGAGATCACGAGTCCTTCAGCTTTAACAAACTATTTCTGCCTCGCTGTGTGAAGGAACACGTGCTGAGTCATCCTCTGTGTGACGCTTTGAAACAACATACGGAAGTCATTTAGGCTTTTTTTTTTTTTAAATCTCGTATAACTTTAGGATTAGCACTCGGGTTAACCACCTTGGAATAATTCCAAGCTAGAACAAGGGGGGCTTTTTTTCTGGTTTTCCATGTTGCTGACGTTGTGTGAATACAGCGAACATTCAGTCACATTGAAACCTTTAGGATCGACTCTGGATTATTTGTGAATTCCTGTCGCGTCACCAAATTATCATCTGAGAACAAAACACATCAGGAGCTGGTGTTTGCTGCTTTCATCTAACTTTCCTATTTTGAAAATTTTTGTCATCCCTCCTTCTCTCTTTGCACCATCCAGAGCAGTGTGGTATTATATATTAACTGAATTATTCTCCTCACATACTATGGAAATCCCAAGCTTACAGCCCCTTTGCATATATTCTAACAAAGTCATAATGAAAAGTTAATACAGTCCCCAAACCCTCCCGTCTCATGAATCCTGACCACATTAAGTTCAGTCTGCTGAAATGACAACGCATTTATCAAAGTGACACCGTCAGATCCAGGACTACATGCAGATACGCAGCCTAATAACACCCAACTGGAATGGCTTTTTGATTTTATCATTGAAATTAGCGTGTGCGCTCTGGCACGCTGCAGGAAATGAACACATTGGGTGGTTCTCTGTCGTCCCGCCATAAATCTTCTCCTCAGCGCTCCGGCGCTCTGTGTTTGGTTTGTAGCTTTCACACCAGCACTCTGACAAGTGTAATGCGTGTTTGGAAAACATCTTATGAAAAGTCTGAAGCCGAAGCCGCTGATGCGTGTAATTTCCCGAACTCAGATTTGGAGTTGGAGTGCCAGGCCTCACAGAATCCTCCAGAACCCATTATGGGTTCTGACTAATTGTTGGCGATGCACTGCAGCATTCCTGTTCCCTGCTTGGACTTTATATAGACCAGCTCCCGCCGTCGACACACATGCGTGCTTGTGTGTGATCTGGTCCTGTGCGTGCTTGTGCAGGTGTGCCATGTTAACATAGAGAAGGAGTCCGAGACACAACCCAGACCCCCGTCTCCTCAAAATGGCCACCTCTGTCGATTTACAGAGCGCTATTAACAGCCGAACCCTCGAGGCCTTCTGAGCACACCTACACATCTCAGGAAATGGCACTACCTTTTTTTTTTTCCTGTCTACACCGACAGAATGTGCTTTGTCTTCCTTCTCTTACTGGTGTGGAGAAGCAGAACCGCAGTAAACCCCCTGAGCTGGAACAATACGATGTGTGTGTAGAGATATTTGCATGCTTGGGTGTGTGTGTGTGTGTGTGTGTAAACCAGAGAGGAAACAGGTGCGCCCTGTGCGTATCGAGACGTCAGGATTGATTAGTTCCAGGGAAAGAGACAAGACGCGAAGATTCAGCGGTGTACTGTCAAAACAACGGGCTCGTCTCCAGACAGCTGGATTTCCGTTCAGACCGTCACGTGGGCCGCCTCCACGCTGAAGAGGGAACGGACTCCGTGGGACAGTATTTATTGGTGACTAGTGCGTGAGCCAGTGTGGGCTCTGGACCGCTTTGGGCTGTTGAGGATCAGCGTTGTGCAACAGAACGATAAAAAGGAATCAGTCATCCGACCCACTGAGAGGTGATTCCAGGTGATTTAACACATACTGACAGCCGTGGCGGAGGTCCTCACCTGCTCGTGAGGAGCAGATTGCAAGCAGTCCGCAACTTGGTTTCATCAACAGACCTGGTGGGGCTGGAGGGAGTTTATTTGATTTCATCGCTCCTCAAAATGTAAACGTGAAGGTGGATTCTAAGGGGCAGTAAGGACGTGTGTGGGCTCACGAGATGAACACAAAATGAAATGAGGGAAACTAACTCATGTTACTCCTACAAAGAGTTTCATAGGTTCCTCAATTTGACAATTTTCTTTGGCTGATTTATAATTTTCTTCCAAAATACTCAAGAGCACTTGAGCGGATTGGAGCAGGCTGACCCGGTGATGTAGTCAAGTGGTGGAGTCAAGGCCTGCATCTTGTT